AATATACGTTCAGAATAATTAGATCATTCATTTCTTTTAAACGGCTTTGTAAGAATGCATTTAAAGGCAGCGTCCAGGCAAATCTGGACTATGGGGATCTCACGTGGATAGTAATTTTGGGTCTCTAAGACCCGAAGTAACTAAGCCCAACCTCAGGTAGTGCTCTAACGGCTGAGATATTCCCCTCAAAACTTAAACCCCGATCGTGTTTCGCATGGATTCATGGCGCAATTCATCAGTTTCTGTGAGTTCTTGCGCGAAACGATGGGTTGCGCCATGAATCCATGCGAAATACGATCCTGAGCTCCACTTTGGAGGCGTTATTTTAACCGTTAAGTCACCTGCGCTGCTGCTTGGGTACTTCCTCAATTAGGGCCCCAAAATTACTTTCCATGTAAAATTCCAGTAGCTCCGGAATTGACTGGAGCTGCCTTTGAGCGGTTCCATATGAAGATTTAATTCAGAAAGTTAATCAAATTCATTAAGGTTATTCACAGTGAAATAACACAGATACGTGTTTTTTCAAGAACAATTACAAGACGATCATAGCCTTCTTTCCAATGCAATAGTAATTCTGACACTGACACTGAGCGATAAAAAACGAATCTTTCTTCTTTTTCAATGGCTAGAGCTATAGTACGGCATATGACACATGTACTGCGAAGAACGGATGTTTCTTGTATGACTTACAGCGAGGCCCTGCGTTATCATTCAAATGAACATATTAGATTTCAAGACTTTTTATCATACAGTGGAGGGAAAAGTTGAGATTAAGTAAAAAATGTTTACGCTAGATAAAAAAGATGAAGTTTTTTGAAGCAGGTTTGCTAACTTCTGCACCCTACACTTCTAGGTCAAATTTGGCACCTAGTATAAATGAAACGCAGTTTGGGCGCGATCGCTCCTCACGAAAATTAGTCATTCCGAAAGACGAAGCCAGCTATTTCACATGTGAAACTTAATCATCACGACCTTACCAAGATTGCGACATGCTTAGCAGGTAGTGGTCAGAACTTAATTCAGCCATACAAAAACGTGTATATCATTAGGCTCGCCTTAAAACGCTGATTCAGAATATACGTTTACTATCTGCCAAGCGACTATCTAGGGAGTTATGAACGTTAGAATATGAGATTTGTCATGTGTTCTATAGCGCATGTTCCACGAAATAGGTTTCAAAAGCCTTATTTAGGTTTTAATAAATGTGTTTCTTCCTTGTAGTTGAAATAACCATAGGCACCGCAAATCCGCGCCATCAAGCTTCCTTCTAAGTAAATATATTGTCAACTTGAATAATTTCTGATCTATGAATGCTTTAACTCCTCTCAGATAATCGCTTGACAGACAAAAGCATGTACTTAGAATCAGCACTTTAAGACGAGTCCGATGATATACAGCTTGTCTAAAATGTTTGTTGAATTCTGACCACTTCCTCGTTAGCTAGGCTTTTATAGCGTTTATGGCAGTGGCCCGTAGTAAACCCCCATCAGTGCAACTCGACTGGTGCGGACCTACGTTAAACGTAGGACGCCTCAGTCCAGCATCCAGTGAGCTATTGATCTGGATGTGGATCGCTCTCTAATCATGATAAATGTGTGTTCTTGAAAAAAGAGCCACTTGAACCGGTTGGTTCGAACAGGTAAGCGGCGGTTGGATTTGAACGCGCGGAGCCATGGTTCAAAACTGGGTAGCGCCACACTTTTGGTGTATCGTCTGGCGTCTTTGACAGCGACCGCTATCGCAAAATCGATGATGACCGCTGTCAAGGATTTAGCCTAGCACATGCACTGATTAAACAAAACAAATTTATTTACGAAAATTCCATGAAAAAATGAAATGATTGTAAAATGAACTCAATGAATTAAACCGATAAATTCTTGTCTTGAGCAGCTTTTGAAAAAAAGGTCAGCAAACTAAACAAAAGGGAAAAGTTTGTTTTCTTCCTTTCCACGCCAAAATCAGCTGTTCATCGATTCTCTCCTTTTCGGGCTCCGGTATTGTGCAGTTTTGAGCCGATTTTGTCTGCAGTGTTAGGCAAACTGATGTGTATCGTAAGTTACTCAGGAGCAACTTACGAATCTTCTCTGCGTCTCCTCTTTCCCACACTAACTGCATTCGTTTAACATCATATCATGTTCAGCTCAACTGAACGTGAACTGATGTGCAACAGTTGACTGCAGCAGATGGACGGATGGCCAACTGTCAGTTCACTTGCCATGCTTATAGCATTGAAAAGTGGGCGGTCATCATTTCACCTGACGTAAGCTCAACTGATGGGTTGAGTCTTTCCGCTCATATGGTTATGCAGGCTACAGATATTGATTTCAACAAAAAACACCCTAGCAAAAAGAGTCAAATTTGGTATTTCTCAAAAAAAAAACGCTTCCGGGAAGTCAAAATTTTACAGATGTGTTTCTGAGGTCTGTAATATACAGCCATTTAAGTGAGAATAGCGCAGCATCGACTTTAAACTTGAAAGTTCAATTTACTCTTTTTGCAGCGCAGCAACGACAAATATGAGTGTCTTATGTGAAGTTTATATGCGTGACAAGTTTGAAATCTGGTAAGTTATTCTTGGTCATAGATATATTAGGTCGTTCCGAAAGTAATGTCGCTTTTTTCAAATAAACGCCACATTTTATGGAACCGAGATTTTCAAGAGATCTTAGAAGCATTCGATGCAGCATTTTATCCTCTTTCTAACAAATTGTAATTTCATTGCATAATATGAGCTCTCGAAAAATTACCAAAACCTGCGACTCTTTTTGCTTTTGCTTTTTGTCATGATCAAGTTCGCTTTTTTCAGTATTTTTGTACTGATTCCCCGAAGAGGCACAAGTAACAGATAAATAGAGCAAACCCTGTAGGATACAAAATAATTTTCTTCTTTTTCTTAGTTTGCTTCTTAGACTTTCTAGAATCAATTTTTCAGTGCTATTAAATTTCATATTTGGTCAAACCTCACAGAACAACAACCGGCAAGCAACTCGGGTGCCATTCGACGCAGCTTTTTTCCTCTTTTTACCGGTTGTTTTTGGTTTACGATTCATAAAGTTTTCCGGGATAAAATTATCATAATTTGGGCTTTTTAGGGCGCCTCAGGCTATACCCGAAATTTCCGAAAGTTGCTAATCTGAAACGGTAAACCCCCATTTGCTTTGTAAATTTAGTGTCAAACCTTAATCTAACTTTGTAAGTTTCAAAATTTGAAAATTTATTGGTGTTTGATGCATTCTTGACTTGGACAAGCATGCTAAAATTCGTTGATTCTATTGAAAAATTTCTACAAAATTACGACAGGCTATGTAAAGTAGAAATAAATCGAATCGTACTGTTCCTTATATGGATTGCTCAATCCACCTGTTAACTGGATTCCTTCGGAACTGTTGTAAAAATCTAGAAAAATTGTGAAACTTTTACCTTTTTGAAAAACATGGGTCGCAGATTTTGGTAATTATGCTGCAAATTTCTATAATGTGAAACAGTCGCTCAATCGCTATTCATTACTGTAGGATTACGGTAGGAACTTTCATTATACAGGGCCATCGTGAAGCAAGCCGCTCGAAGGAAAATTCCAAAAAAATCAGGAAAGTTGCGTATCAGCGTTTTCAGACATGCTGATGCCATTAGACATACGTGCTTTTGGAGGTTCAGATTATTTAGTCTCATTTTTAAAAATTACTGAACTAACGTTACTGCGGTTTCCCTAGCATGACCCTCATGAAAAAAGTTTTGCGATAAAGCACGAACGGCATATCATGTCAGCGACTCAGTTTAGGTTAATGACAAACTTTTCAGCCTGTCGAGATTTATTTTGGGGCCAAATTTAGCTATAGATACTCAAAACCCTCTGTAAAGTCCAACCGTAAGTTTACAGTAATGAAATGTAAGTTTATAGTAATGAAGAGTAGTGGATGATTCGCTCCGCACTGTAAATCTAAGTTGAAGCCCATCTCTACTCAGTTTTACTTCAAGCTATCGAAAAACTTTGTGAAAGGAGAGTAACGATAAAAAAGTGTTTACTTCGTTTTGGACACTCTGTATTCCTCTCTGTCATCAAAACCAGCTTATGTGTTGTGATGAGTAATTCGTCAATAATGAGGCCGACGAAAATGTCAAAATAATGACCTCTATGGACATCTCGGCAAAACTCGCTGCACATTTGATGGAAATATAAGAACATGTAAAGTAAGACAAAGTAATCGCATTCTTTTTCAAACTGGAGAATAAATAACCGTATTCTTTTTCCAACTGGTTTGATTGCACTACATTTTGTTGAGTTACCACAGCGTCGCAAGCTATTACATTTATGAATGTAATATCATTGAGCTGAATTGTATTTTATATATCCAAATTCTTCTTAAAGTGGCTGTGAACATATGAATCAAACAAGGGCTAGGATCTAAAAATGCGCTTCAAAAACTTTGGTTGCTATCATAGGCTTTGTTGGAAAAAAGCCCTCTCAGAATTCTTCATCAAAAAGGATTAATACGAATAGCTGAACATAGCTGGTACTTACAATTTATTTTAGAGGCAGCGTTCACCCAATTTTCGCCTCCCATGTTTCCATGTTTTTGTCACTAAGGGGCTTTTTATAAGCGTGATTACAGTCAAAGCTAGGATTGTCTAAACCCCCCAAAAATCCAATTGCTGGGGACCCTGTCTAGTGAGCGCGGACGCAGTCTGCACATTCTGATCACTACCATGTCAATACTTGTCGGAAGGCAGTTCCTGGCTGGATTGATCTTGATAGGTTTTGGGCAACGCTTGATAGCATTTACGGTGTTTCCAGATTCATTGTCACCGTTCAAAGAAACATTAGAAAACCGGACCAACCTTGGGACCTACCTTCAGATAAGAGGGTCCCTCCTTGGGGACTATATTCATATGCGGCACAAATCAGAAAGAATCAGATTTAGCCTAGGCACTGCTTTGAGGTCTTATTTGTTAGAATGTTGAATTCAATAAACGTGATTCTATGCCACTTTATTCTTCGAGCATTATACGCAGTAGCCACATGTTTTTGGACACTGTTCTCTCATCAACTGTACATATAACGCATTGGTGCATAGCGCACGTTTTGATGGACACTCTGATACCCCAGTTCTTGGATGGACGAAGTCTTGACAACCTGAAATAGAGCCAAAATCTTGAACTGTGCCTTAAAATACAGAAGGCCTTTTCACTTATTAATCCTCCCGCGGAAGTACCTGAGCACTTATTGCACGTTCGTGGACATTGTTCTGCCATAACCTGCTTGTATAAGGCATTTTCGCAAAGGTATGCCTTTTGTGGGCAGTCCGAAATACCCGTTACTGGATGAACGAAATCACGGCATGCTGAATTCAGTCATAATTTGATACATCTTGAGAGAAGATATCTACAAAAATTTAGAGAAAACCTACTGGGTGTAGGAGCAGCCGTGGGTGGTTGGGTCACACTGGTAACCTTAATATGCAATACAACGGAAATAGTTAAGTACTATTATATGGCCCGTATGCATGTACGTCCCCGCGAGGGAGGAGAGGGAATCTGAGAGTGGACGCGCTATATCTTGCTACTTTAGGCGTCTGCATCATTGTTTTTCTACCTGTATTATTGGCTTCACCCTATACCCTCTTAATATCTGACGTGAGTATAATGGATGACAAAAATTGACACACAAAATGAGTTTTTCACTGGTTCGTGTAGTCCCCTAGGAGATCCTCAGGGATCACATAAGATCAACCTTCGTTTTCAGAAACGTCCATCTTTTCAGGAAGTCGATGAACACGTCGTGAAGTTGCCGGAGATCTACTATAGCACTGTTAGGGATGTTTCAAAAAATGGATTATACAGGTCACGATTTTTTCGATAAACCTCAGCTCGCGAACAACGGTTCATCAAAAGTTTCGATATTATGAGATTTCGCCATTCCATTATAAGCATGTATAGAAGGCCATAGTATGTTTTTTGGTTCAATTTAGGATCGCCAGGGTATCACACAAAAGAGCCAAAACCTCAGTTTGTATGGCATTGTTCTCCCATCCATTATACGCATGTATTAGGATATAAGAACCATTATGACACAAGAGAAATAGAAGATTACAGATTTGTAGATTAACGGAAAATGACACGTTCCCTCCCAGATCCCCTGCCCTCCACAGCGGGGTTCGTGCGTAAGGACCTAAGTGAATCTCTTATGTTTGGCATACAAGGTTCTACTTTCCTTTTCAATGTATGGCACTGTGCCAATGTAACCAAATGCACATCTCGCAAAAGGCTGCTCATGAGTTAGTAAATTTCTATGGCTCACTAAGTATTATAGGTGTCATACACATGACCCTAACTTACTTTTGTGGAATCACAGCACATTTCTCCTCTCGGTGACTGTATGCAGGTTTGCCCGGTAGGACATACGCCCATAATGCAAGCTGAAAATAAAATTCAATGAACTCTGAGCAATGAAAGTTCTGTGGTAAAAGTCTATGCCCTTCTTGGTAATCTTAATCTATACTAGAATTTGTTGTTGTTCTAGCAATTACATTTACTGAAAAGCGTTCTGAACGAGCATAGAAATGTTAGTTGTATTTTCGAAAGCAGATTATACACTTTTGTTGCTGATAAGAATCGAACTTTGCTCGTATCCGCGCATTCCTGCTCTCATGGAATTCTTTTAATCTTAACAAGTCATCTCATACATCGGTGGTAGATTGTGAAGAAGTTAAACACAAGTTTTAATGGATGGTCTTTGTGCTACGGTTCCATATCAATTACCAAGTTTCCAGTTAAGTGACAAGTGTATCTCACATCTACCTTTTACGTCGCGTTGGCCTTACAGGCAATCTTTTCTGCGGAAAGAGACTCACGGGTGGATGTCGGGTTTGCATTCGGATCTGCACATTCCTGCTGCTGAGCTGCAGCTCTGTAAAAAGCGAGTGCTATCACAACAACGGAGAGGATTGCCATGGGATGTAGGTGACAGTCACCTTGTCCTCGGCTTTAAATAATGATGCTTCCGAATTGCAGCTATGTCAATACTGTATTCGATTTTGGGATTCGGACTTTGGGTTGCTGCAGTTTTACATAAAAAGAACACGAGGAGGTTACTGAATGAAAATGTAAAAATATTAGGGTGATCCAAAAGTAATGGGCACCTTGATTTTTTGAACATTCTTCAAAATTCTTTTCTGATTAGCTGAACAATCAGCAATTTAAACGCTTTGAACGCAACGTACAAAGTGACCTTCGCAGGTTGTCTTGACAGCACCTTGCAGCATTTCACCGACATTCCTTCGAGCGGCGCTTTAAAGAAGTCAGACAGACTTTTTTAACGCCGTCCGAATTTGTGCTGCTGCACTTGAAAGTTTCTCGACACATGGCATATCATTCGAAAGAGCTTTCCAAGCTCTTTCTAATGAGAACCTGAATGTTTAAAAATTGCCTATTATTTCATACAAAAAAAGGCACTTCATTCGAAAAAGTGCGGTGTTCGGGCAGATTTTCAAAGTAAAATTCATGTTTTGGCCCACAATTTTTTGAAAATGAGAAAAGCCGAAGTAATCTGCATATGTGTGGATAGAGCGTAAAAAGCACTATCGGAAAGCAGCTGCCAAGGTTGAGCTTATTCAAATATTTTGATGGAAGAATAAGTAATATGTCTCCTGATTTAAGACTATATCTTCTGTTCTAAAGCTTTGAGACCACCGACCTATCGTGGATCTGGTGACAGTCCCCTTACTCACTGCTGCGCAGATATCTTTGGTAGGCTCACTTGTTCTACTGCGGCGCTGCTGCCCAAAATTCGAAATTACTTGAAGTGATGAGCTTAAATCTTAGGCGCTTATAAAAATAACGCCATGTGACAGTGCCCAACTATAGACAAGTTTTGTTATGTACTACTAGCTGGCTTACCCGGCTCCGCCGTATGTTTTGAATAGAAAATTCCATTTCTCAACCGATCCGGACCAAACTTGGCACACATACACTTCGGGCCCCGGCGAGTGTCACAGTTCACTTTTTGTTATCGATCGATGTCGATTTTATCGATTTTTTGCAAAATTTGAGCTAGGGGGCTGGAATTTGGCAGAGGGATGTGATCGAGCATGCTGATCACCCCCACGGGGGGGGAACATACGTACAGACAGACAGACAGACATACATACAGACAAACAGACCCCCACGGGGGTGATCAGCATGCTCGATTACCCCCCCCCCTGTGCCAACTCCCAGCCCTGTAGCTCCAATTTTCCAAAAAATCGATAAAATCGATATCGATCGATGACGAAAAGTAGCCTATGACACCCGCCGGGGCCTAAAGTGTATGTGTGCCAAGTTTGGTCCGGATCGGTTCAGAAATGGAATTTTCTATTCGGAACATACGTACATACAGACAGACATACAAACAGACATTCAGCTTTATATATAAGATTCTGCCAAAACTGGGACTTCCAATTAGCTTTTCTATTGGGTTGTTTCAAAAGTTCTATCCGTTTTCGAACTTTGACTTTGATTCACCGTAACTCTTCTCAGAATTAACCTTTGCAGTTTCTATAAACTGTATTACAATTTGCAAATCTTTTGCTATTTTGCGCACTCTTTAAGATTATTGCAGTAGCAGTGGAGAAGATTTCATAGGCGAAAATCGAGGAACATTTCTTTATAGAAATCTTCACTTTCCAAAAGCATAACTTGATTTGGAATATAGCTGAGTTGCACATGCACTGCTTACAGTGTAGCCCGTATTCGAGTGAGCCGTACCGCTAACTTTGGATTTCATCAAAGTCTTTTATAGAAATTTTGTGCGGAAAAATCCGAAAGGACCCACTTATTTTGCTCTTTTTGAGGCGGCAAAAAATGCAATTTATTTGAAATTTTTGATTTTGTTCGCCCTTGACAAAACAGTAATCTTTTCGTTCTTCTAGTAGCAGTTGTTCTAGCTTTATATAGAGTAAAAGTTCTGCGATTGCAATATTTTTATGATTTTTATGCGACTTGAAGGGACCATAAAGGCATGTTGTGTTTGAGCTAAAAATTTGTAGGTTCAAAATTTTCCTGGAATCATATCTCGATGATTATTTAGTAGCACAAGTCTCCAGCAAACACTATGTATGTTTTTAAAAAATTTTTGCTTTTGGCTGTAGATTTCACGGTGATAGAGCAAAGACGAAATTTCACATTTGTTTCGCTGTCTTTTCAAAGTACGCAACCATACAGCGAACCAATATCTATGAAAACGAAAAGATGCCTAAAAAACTGGAAGAAAAGAGCTTTTGAATGATATAAGCAATGTTCTTGAAAAATGGTTTCTTCCTTCAAAATCGGCAGTCCATAAAAAGGTATCGAAAATGGGTAGAACTTTTGAAACAACCCAATATTTGAGAAAACTGCATTTATTTCAGAGGTGCCCCGTTACTTTTTGATCACCCTAATAATTAACAACAAAAAGAGATACACGTAATTGACTTTGTTGTGAATTCGACACAATTAAGAAATTCTACTTTATACGTGACATGTTGGCCAGGGAGAAAAATCCGAATAATCTTCTTCCATTCCTGTTGACAGTCAATATCTTTCAAAAGACTCTGGTCTTCCCTACTAACATTTCGTAAAGAATTGTTTATTTGTGAAGATAAACGAACTAACTCTAGCCTAGGTTAATAGTGGGTATGCAACATGCAACTCAATCAACAAAATCCTCATAATTAGTCGCTTTGAATCTGGTTACTCATAAAAGTTTCTATTTGATACTCAAACATATTTCGCAGGCCTCAATATCTCCACATGTTTGCAGAATATCGGCTAAAAACAATCACATTTCTTTTTTTCAATCCAAACAACGTTGGATTGAAAAAAAAATCCTTGCGCTACATTTACCAGTGCATTTTTTTCAACACATGTAATATGTTTACAGAGATCATGGCCCTGCACTTTTGCTAAAGTGTACAATGTTCGAGCACACATCCGTGAAAGCTAAAAATATTATAGTTATTCCATAGCTGATTCTGGTCGTGTATGAATGCAAGTATGGTGATAAAATTATGGGTTCAGGTTTAACAAAACAGTGTTTTTTCTAGTTTGTGCTACTTTTCATACCTTAACCTCTGTACAAAGGTTTATTTAGGGTTAAAACGGTTTACAAAAACATTTAATGCTTCTGCTGTTGTTTCAGAGTTAGAGACATCTAACAATAGACAATAGATAATAGACAATAGACAATAGACAACTAACCAAACCAAAAGAAAAGTGCTGTGTTCGAATTTTTTTGCTTCATTAGGATTTTTTAGTCAAAATATGAATAATAAAAAACTTGTGAAATGCTCAAAAGTGGTGAGGTATGATGAAATTTTCCGCACTTTCTGAGAACAACTTCTGAATCTCCCAGTGACAATTTCAAAAGACACTTTACCTTTTACGATATGTGCTGTCGTTCCACCATTCTCAAGCTTTCAGCGTTTTTTAGGTACCTTAAAGCTTTGCCTACTCAAGGTGGTGATTAAAAAAATTCCTTTTCTAATAATGTTTTGCAATCAGCCAATTTCTCAGTTGTGATCACCGTTACTTATTAAGAAAAGATCCCAAATTGCAGTGGCGATCTGGAACGAAATACATATCATTTGATGCGTCTTGTTGAGGAGAGCCCAAGTCTAACTTGCGCATCTTCTGCTGGATCTATTGCAAAAGTGAGCATTTGGAAGTACAAATATGGCAGCAGTGGCAGTCTTATAAAAATAAATCGTTTAAATACACTTATTTACTGGTTAATGTGTGCATCTGTACTCAGCACACTTCAGTGCACATTGTCAATCAGAACCCCAGTGTCTTTACATATTCAACCGATCAAACTCCGTTCATAAAATCCCGCAGCAGATACGGAAGGCAGATTTGGACTCATCAAAGCTCATCAACACAAAGACAACTTAGCAAAATGCGGTTCATTTTAACTCGCCACTGCAATTTGGGGCATTTCCCATGTTAGTTGTGGACCCAACTTCTCAAAAAGTTCAACAACTTTGCCTCACCTCTTTATTAGTACATAAAAAACTACCATGTTGTGTAATCGTTAGCCCACGTACATCAAACGTAATTAAAAAGGTCAAGTTGACTAAAATAAAGAATCTGACCTGTTTGGAGTGACCTAGTTTCAAAGCTAACTAACACAAATATGCTTGTAAAATCGAAATGTCATCACCGCATCATCTATGTCATTACTTCCCTGGACAATAATGTTCTTTATGATGGACATTCGAAATGGGAAAATTTCTTAGTTGGATTCGCAGGTCCTTTCAGCACGTGAAAATGGCGTAAATAAGCTATTTTGAAGTTTTCCACGTCCGCATTCAGCGGAGATAAGCCGGAAGTTATCCGAGCCCTCCCTCCCTCGTTTCAGGCCCCTCCCACATGTATTAAATTTAAAAACTGTTGCGAGTGTGCAAATTTTCTCGTGTCCGTCAAGATCTTGCTCAAAAATGCAGTAACGCAATCACCACTGACAATGAGTTGTAAACATGTAACGGGAGGGAATGCTCGCAGAGCAAGGGAAGCTCCGCCAAGAGGTTGTACTACATACCTAAGCTCTGTTGAATTTTGACTTTTTACTCAACAGTCCACATATCTTATTCTTGTTCGGGTCTCCGGATAGCAAAGCAAGCTTGGCAAAATTGCTTCCAAATATTTGCATCAACCTTGATCCACGCGATGTTTGAGACACAAATAAAAAAATGCAAATGTTTGAAAAATTGAAAGAAAATGGGATTTTTAATCCTACGGAGTCCTGCTTATGCATATACCTTCCACATTAAAGACATATACCAGCACTATATTCGTTCGTTGGCTAGAAGTCGAGAAAGGGATATTTTTTTCTAATTGATCAAAGCGATGCTGGGCTGTTTCCATATAAATAATTGTATACCACAAACCTTTGTAGTACGATTGTGATTCAGCTTCCTGCACGAGTGTTCTCGAGATTT